GTTAAATTTACCCAATTTCACAAATATGGGTAGAGAACATTTAGCGATTGCATTGGCAACTAAGCGCCATTGAAAATTGTTTAAATCTCGACAGGCTGTATTCATCCATCTCTTAATAACCTGATTTATGATAATGGTAAAAATCACAAAAATTAAATATATTGATTATTATTGATTGTTAAATCTAAATAAAAGAGTTTTATTGTTTTATTGTTCTAATACAAAATACATTAGAAATAAATGGATAGAATAAGAAAACCATAAAAATTAATTTCGATTTAATTGCTCGTTACAGTGGTCAAGTCCTAATTCTTCTGAATATCAATTGATAATTGAACGCATGAGAATATTCTTGACCTGCGAAAAAAAAGTTCGTTCCTAAATGCCTCATACATTCGTATAGCAACAAAAGAGACTCAAGGAAAAAGTGAATTTAAAAGTGTCCCATGATTATGGGGCATTTTTATTCTCACTTTATTCATGGGACTCTTTTATGCAATAGAAATGTATGAGGCGTTTTAGTTGTGCATTTTGACTTGAGGCTTTTATATGATAATTTTGATAACAAGGAATGCGAATTTCGATGTTGGGCACAATAAATACTGTATCAAAATCGAAAAAAAATTAAACTTTTTTTTTCAATTTTCGGCTGTATTGCGACCGTCTACATAATCATGGGACACTTTTATGCTCACTTTTTCCTTGAGTCTCTTTTGTTGTTATACGAATGTATGAGGCATTTCGGAACGAACTTTTTTTCGCAGGTCAAGAATATTCTCATGCATTGAATTGTTTATTCTTAAGTATTCAACTAAATCTATCTTACGTTCATAGCTAGATCTTCACCCAGCTCTCGTACTTCAATGAAATTCTCGTCTATATCAATCAATCTCCTCAACAAATGATACTCTCTGGACACAGTTGGATTGGCTTCTTCATTTGCGCATGATAATATTATCTAAATAAGTATGTATTGTAAATATGGCACGCACAAAACACAAGAAAACAACTTTTGAGCTCTTTAAAAAAGAACTTGACCTAGTAGGGGAAAAAACTTGAAGCAAAAGAGAGACAAATAAAGTTCCGAGCAAAAGTGACACAACTCAGCATTGAGCGGAAAAGACGTTTTTTGCATTCTTGTGAAATGGTTAATAAATGTTTCAAATGAGTAACAACTTTTTTTAGGCAGTTGTAAGGTGCATATTGTATATTTCCCAATGTACCATCCAATTTAAATAAATTCGATTGATTTGTTGCCGTTTAAATGCGATGAAATTTTAAATCAATTGTTAGCGAATGATCGTTGAATAATGTGTGGTTTGCTTTGTCATTCGCATGGAAATTGAAAGAAGCAGCAAGCTAAGTCGAAGCGACAGTCTCTGATGAAGGCATAGTTTGCCACAATTTGGAAAGAATGTGCATTTCTTAGTTTCCCTCATCTGAAAAGTTCGAGAAATATACATAAAAAATAGGTTTGGCGCAAAGAACGCATATGGGTACCATATAAAATCAGAACTTATGTTCAGAAAATTTCTCAAATATAGGGGAATGTTGTAATGAGTGGACCACCTAGGCCATTTCGGCTATAATTTTTTTTCTATGGGGACTTTTGTAGAGTTATATATACGATTGGATACTAATTGACATTAGCTAAAAGTTGCAGCCATTACGGAGGACGATAGTCCGAAAAGTGACGCACCATAGACTGTGCATTTCAAGCCAAATATCAAAAATGCCAGTTTTTGCGTCACGAGTATATATACAGTAAGTATGCTATTTTCTCAGGGCACTATTTGGGCCCCGGCATGTTAGGTACCGTTGGAAAGGTCTTGGCCCAAATAGTCGGAAATACCATATCCCCCATGCCCAAAGTGTGGTCTAGGCAAAAATATAGCGGTTGGAAAATTTCGATAAATTTTCAAATCTATACCCATATCTTACGAAGGGGGTACCCAGGGGGTGGTCTGAGGTGTCCAAGAGAAGCTCCTCCTCGCCACCTTTCCAACGCCGGTCTAAGTGTTCCGATTGGTCCAAAAACGAAAAAGTTATGGGTATTGGCAGTTTGATGTTGATTTTCTATGAAAGTATTGATTTGGATGTGCGTCCGTTGGTTCGTCTGTCCGGAAACTTTTTGACCCCCACAGATTCCGGTGCCGATATGCCTTAGTTGAAGCTAGTGTCGGGCCACATCGAAACCCGTCCTCAGATTGACATTTGCATTACAGGAGAGTTGGCTATGGCTTCACTAGCCTGCATGTATACGATTTTTTCAAGTATTAGTTTCGTACACTAGATCAACTTAGACACCCATCGGGCAAAGTCAGTTCGTAATTATTTGAGAAGACCTTCAAAAAGTTCCATACACACATGCCAATGTTTATGTGATATAAAAGAAAAAAATCGATTTTTATGAAAAATCGACCCCCTTAAATTTCACACCAAACGCGATTTCTCAAAAATCAGCCCGACAATCTTTTACCAAAAACTGAGCGTTTGTAGCCGGCTACCATACCAACAAAATGGCGTATGCCACATATCCGGGAAAATTCGTATTTCCAAGTTCTGGGCATAGGCAATTCATCAATGAACGGAATTTGTACGAAGAGTCGCATTCTACGATGAAATTGCTGCCAAAAATACGCATCTACTGGCTGAAAAAGGCTCACGAAAGACCATATCCGCTCAATCTTCGACGAGCAATCGATTAAAAGTGGTCACAATGCGATCTGAGGCCATTTCATGGTCGAAAAATAGGTCGAATTGAAGTGAATTTTTCAACTTGCTCTATTTTCACTGAAAATGACATTTTTGTTCGGAAAACACGTAAAATAGACCTCTGACGACATTTTGGTCTTAGAAAACTGCTATTTTTTCGTGAAAATAATGGGAGTCCACGAACACTTGAATATCAATTTCGTTGTCATTTTGGTCATAAATCGGCATTTTGGCATCTGAATGTATGAAATTGATCTTTTGCTCGGGGGATACATAAAAACTGCAAACATGCACTTTCCAGAGCTTTGGTGGTTGGGAACTAATATTTTTTAATGAAATAATGAGAACCCACAATCGTTTCAACACTCTTTTTATGGTTATTTTGAAATTTAATCATATTTTACCGCATTTTATAATGTGCAATTAGAGGAAATTGGGACTTTTTCAATGGTAGTGGAAATTAGATAGTGCGATCTCCAGAACTTGTGAAATTAGAATGCCAATTTGTTACCCAGAAAATTGCAATTTCCTGATAATAAGACCTTAAAATAGACATACTTCTGGTAAAAATGTATTTTTCCAAAAAAAGCCTTATAAAAGTAGTGATATCAGATGAAAAACCTCTAGACGAGGTTGAAATGGAGTGACGCTCCGTGCGTGGATTTACCACTCAAAATGACTGATATCATTTTGAGTGACGCTAAGACGCCGTATTACTGGGAACGAAGTTCAAAAGTGTTTTTCGCATTCACTATTGTGAAAATTTATTTACAGGGTGGCGCAGAATAACTGTCCTCTTTTTTCACATCGCACGTTCTTATACACAATGTATTGCGATTCACCCGGTATTGTACCGTTATGTTTATTGGTGTTTACTCTAACACTTGTACTCAATGAAGCAGCGGACTTGTCGGCACACTCGTGGATTTAGCATTTCACTTGCTTTGGCGATTCGTAAGTTGCCGAAGCATCATATATGCAGTGCACACGATATTTAACGTGAAAACCTATATCTGCTACATCGAAGTTGGCCGAGGTATGATTTCGTTTGCGCGTAGCGCGTAAGCAATTCACTTGGGATATATAGTATATAGGGATTCACGTTATATCGCAAGTAAATTGCTTATGCGACGCGCAAACGAAATCATACCTCGGCCAACTTCGATGTAGCGAATATAGGTTTTCACGTTAAATATCGAGTGCACTGCATATATGATGCTTCAGCAACTCACGAATCGCCAAAGCAAGTGAAATGCTAAATCTACGAGTGTACCGACAAGTCCGCTGCTTCATTGAGTACTACGACGCATTTGTGTTCAGTGTTTGTTTGTGCTGCAATCACGATGGAAGCAAAACGTGATTTGGTTTCGGATTTGCACAAGCGCGGCTTCAGAAAAATAGATATTTTTCGGAAGATCCAAAATATCGATATTTGCATGTAAAGGTGTCAAACGGACGGACAACATTTTTTGTCCGTCCGTTTGAAAATTTAGGACGGACAAATTTTTTTTGTCCGTCCGTTTGAAAATTTAGGACGGACAAAATTTTTTTGTCCGTCCGTTTGAAAATTTAGGACGGACAAAATTTTTTGTAGATGGGAACAAATCCTATCGATCAAGACCTATCTGCCTCCAAAAACATGTTGTTTACTATGAAAAATGTGTAAAATAGCGATGTTCGTATGGCGTCGTCCGCGTCCGCGTTCGCGTATAATAAAATAAAAAAATAAAATAAAAAATATGTAAAAGTCAAAAGTTTTGGCATGTCGATACAAAGCTTCGGATTGATTTTGAGCCCATTCTGATTTACCGATTTCGTACCATAAGCCTCCGACTGAGGACCTGAAAAACCTTGAAAAATGACACTTTTGTACGGGAAGTACCCGAAAAAAGCATTTTTCAGGGTTTCGATCAAGGAAAACTGCCATTTTTTTGCAAAAATAATGGGTGTCTTTGAACAACCGAACACCTACTTGCCCATAAATTTGGTCCAAAATCGACATTTCTTGAAATTCTCCTCGAAAAATAGACTTTTGTATGAAAAATCGCACAGAAAGCCATTTTTTAGGGTTTTGGTCAAAACAAACTGATGTTTTTTTGCAAAAATAATGGCAGCCCTCAAACAACTTACTTGCCCATAAATTTGGTCCAAAATCGACATTTCTTGAAATTTTCCTCGAAAAATAAACTTTTGTATAAAAAATCACTCAGAAAGCCATTTTTTTGGGTTTTGGTCAAAGCAAACTGATATTTTTTTGCAAAAATAATGGGAGCCTTAAACAACCGAACACCTACTTGCCCTTAAATTTGGTCCGAAATCAACATTTTCTGAAATTTTTGAAATTTTGTTCGAAAATGACACTTTTGTATGGAAAATGGTCGAAATAGTTATATTTTAGGGTCAAAAATGCTATGAAAAAAGGGTCCATTGAAATTTTGGTTAAACATTAAGCGGGAGGTAAACTAAATTGCTGCGGAGCGGAAAAGTTTGGATTACACTGTAAGTTTTCAGAGGGGAATGAGTAATCTAGATACAGTGCGAAATAGCGGTTTCAATCGTGCCAATACATAGACACGTATATGAATAGTAGCCACTTGAGCGTTCGCATAAGTAATAACACATTTTCCCCTAAAATTAGTGTAAATTCATCCAAAAACATTTGAAACCGCTATTTCGCACTGTATCTGGATTACTCATTCCCCTCCGAAATTTTGGTGTGTACGTATGTAATTCGTTTAATTCTCTTTTTCACTCACGACATTAATAGCAACAGCTACCTCTGGATTTGGACCCAAATTGATATCAAGATCGTGAGCATCATTTGCTTTGCATGTATACCAGATCAGGTTACTGAGGTTGAAGTCACCTGACACAAGCAATACATCGTTTTCATTGGCTTTCGATGCCACTTCACGCAATGCATTCATATGGGCTTTATAAACTTCCACCGGTGAATCTGGTCTTATGTAAACTTGGACCAGTATCAAGTTTCTGCCGTTGCATTGCCTATTGCTGTTAATACTCCGCCCCAATTCTTCTTCTTGATTCTTTGAAATCGTTCAGTATCGGTAGATCTGTCACAACGGAAAACGTCAAAGTACGGCGGAAAATTTTCAGACGAAGACACATCTGCGTTGAGGTGCGTTTCGCTCAACATGTAGGTTTTTATATTTGACGCCAGGACTAGAGCTAAGAAGTTGATTGATTTCTCTCTATCTTTCACACCGTTAACATTGTTACAGT